CGGCGCCGCCATGGCCTCCCGAGCCCCCTGATCCGCCATGGCCTCCTGAGCCCCCTGATCCACCATGGCCTCCCGAGTCCCCGGCTCCGCAATGGCAACCCGAACTGCCTGCTCCGCCATGGCTTCCTGATCCGCCCGGGAGGCTCTCCCACGTGTCGATGGTACGGTTACGGCGTGGGACGCGCCGTCCGGGAGGGGGGCGATCTGTCACGTGTATGTTCCCGTTGAGTTCCTGTTTTCCTTATTTGGTCCTTCCAGTTCCTTTTCACATTATTAGTATCACCTGTTCCTTGTTATTAGTTATCCCCATCACCTGTCTGCCCCTCGTTATCTACCCTATTTAGTTCTAGCCCGTTCAGTTCTCCCTTGTCTGGAATTGTATGTTGACATCTTCTCCTCGTGCTACGTGTGATTCCCTGTGACAAGAATAAATGCCTTTGGTTCGTACTCCTGGTCTCCTCGTTCCTCATTCCGCGCTCCTCACACTACCACCGACCGTGACAACTACTCCCAAATGATTCGCTCAACGATTCATTTTTCCAAACCCCTCCTTTGCGTGACGCTAATCTGCAGTGATTGGTCTGATTGGTCTCATTTTCATTTCATCATACCTGTAATGCCTGATAAAGCAGCGTTTGTGAGCACAGTGCTGCTTTGTGTACAGCGTTACCGGGGAAACTTTTTACCACTTCAAAAGCGGCACCTAGTGGCAAAGAATGAATTTGCATTTTCATTCAGACCAATGTGAAAAGACCAACAAGTGGGCGGGCAGTATGCTAATGTTTCATGTTGACTTCAGCATGAAAGGCTTGGGATTCGTTTTAAAAACTATTCGCTTCAATGATTCAGAGTCGACTCTTTCTTTTGAGCGACAATAATTTTATACACGGTGCATTTTCAGATTTAAAACTTTGCAGGATGTTTTCATTCACTTAGAGCTGTGTTACACACTGCATGAAAGGTAATTTTTAAACAGGGACTCCCAAAGCCAAAATATGAACCTTTCATTACCCATAATAGGGGAACTTTAAATTAATGTTGTTGTATTTTTTTAACTTACATTAAAGATCCTGAAAAAAGTATTACGGTTTTTACAAAAAATGTTAAGCAGCACAATTTTTTGCAAAATTTATAATAATAAGAAATATGTCTTGAGCACCAAATCAACATATTAGGATTTCTAAAGGATCATGTGACACTGAAGACTGGAGTAATGGCTGCTGAAAATTGCCATCAAAGGAATAAATTACTTTTTAAAACATATTAAAACATATAATTAAATATATATTATAACTTAAAACTAGAACAGTGTCAATTAAGTGGTATAAATCTCATTGCTATTCTCATCACACTGTGTCTAAACTGTATCCAGATAAGTGCCAATTATTATTTGCCTGGAGAGACTTTTGTCCTGCTTTGACAAATATACACAAGTGACTACAATCAAGACAAGCCTTGTTCTATAAACCCACTGTAACCTACTTCCATTCCCCCCAGCCTGCATGTTTTTGCACAAGTAGACTTTCAACATTTCAACTGTTCTACAATGCCTTACAGTAGGCTAGAGTAGTTTCTGGGACTTTGATGTAGAGAGCGACAAGCTGTTTTGTTCTGTTAGTAGGTAAAGCTTCTAATCTGGCTGGCTTCTACTTCTCTTCTGTCAGTCCCATAAATCCCATAGGTGGTATGAGAGCTCAACCTTGAGGAGCAAATTAAAGTTTGATCATAGTTCATTTACCATGGAAACAGTGCAACAGTGTTAACCTGCTAATTAAAAGAGGCGGCTTTGTTGGCCATGATGAAGCATTCGGCTAAAACTTAAGGGATTTAAATAGATTAGGTGATGAACACAGAAGAGCTGTGGAGACACCATGTTTAGGTTTAGCTGTCTTCACCCTATTAGAACAGCAAACATCTGTTAGTATGGATTATGGCTGATTTGAGAGCTTATGATGGGGAAAAGAAAGCGGGTCGCGTCTGTGACCACAAGCATATCTTGAAGACAAATTAGCATGAAAATAAGTTTATTTTATTTTATTGTTTTTTATTATTCTATGTTATTTATTTATTTATTTAATTTTTATTGATGCACTGTTTATTGGTACTAAGCCGGTTATTGGCCTATATTATAGGTGTGGTATTGAATATATATCTGCTAATATTATACATTTATGCTTATTTTCTCTATTTTGACATTTAGATTACCTTTACTCTCATCTATCGCTCACTTGAATGTATTTAAAAGCACTAATAATTTAAGTGTTTAATGTAATTTTTAACAAAAGACAAAATGAATATCCATTTATCATACTGAATATTTTAATGTTGTATTGCTTGTTGTAATGTAAAGTTTATTTGTAGCATTCAAACTGATTTATTTTAGTTTTTTGCATTCCCTTTTATACAGCACTGGTATGATTAAAAATACACCTTGAATTTGTATTGATTTAATCATAGTGGCACAATACATCAAATTTTTAACACTACTGTTATGCAAGGACTTGTTAATTTCAAAACAGAAAATAAAGATTTTTATGTTCTTACTAATTGTCTTTATAAAAAATGTATTATGAAGAAATGTATATTCTTTACGGTCATCTAACACTTACTTAAAATTAGTATTTAAAAGCACTAATAATTAAATTTTTAAATGTAATTTTTAGCAAACGACAAAATGAATATCCATTTATCATGCTGCATATTTTAATGTTGTAATGGCTAATATCATTTGTAGCATTCACACTGATTTATTTTAGTTTTTAGTGTTTAATTTTTAATTTTTTTAGATAAAATATTACAGAATTTTTATGTTGGCCATTTAACGGTTATTGGTGTGTGCAGTTGCTGATGCTGTTTTTTTCTCTTATTGTACAGACCTCCCCAAGGCTGCCATAAAGATCCTCAGCAACATGACGTTCCTGTTCGTGAGTCTGTCCTACACAGCCGAGAGCGCCATTGTCACTGCTTTCATCACTTTTATCCCCAAGTTCATCGAGTCTCAGTTTGGAATCCCTGCCTCCAACGCCAGCATATACACAGGTACATTTATTCATCGTCACAGTAATCATTATATTAATTTATTTCTCCTTAACACTTTTACGTATGCTTTCTTTTCTAGTCATATCACACATTGCACATGGTTCGCACTCTGTTCCTCACATTACAGAACATGTGTTAAAAATGAAGTGTGAAGACATGCGTGATATTTCTTTTCCCAGCTGTGCTTCTTATTTTGTGGAGGCATATTTGATAGTTACTATATAAAGCTGTATATGCTTCTTTGAGTGTGTATCACTGGGTCTTAAGTAGGCCTGGGCGATAAAACAGTATTGATATTTATCGACGGTACACCTTCTTCGATAACGATAGAATAAATGTTCAATATAGCGCACGATATAGGCAGGTGCTATGAGTGACGCAGACAGCACACACAAACACGAACACATGTTGTAATGAGTGCTGTGCCTGCCTGTAATGAGGAAATTGTGAATAAATAATTAATATTAGTCGAATTTAAAATAAGCATTTGCATTTGAAAGTTAGGAGTGCGTCAGGGAGCGTCATCAGTGGCGCGCTGAGATGCAGTGATGATGATGTAATGGCGCTTTTCCACTGCATGGTACGGCACGGTACGGCTCGGTACGGTTCACTTTTGGGGGGTTTTCCACTGGGTACAGTACCTGGTACCTGGTACTTTTTTTAGTACCACCTCGGTTGGGGTTCCAAGTGAACCGTACCGTTACCAAAACGTGACGCGTAAACTCTGCTGATCACGGATTGGCCGGAGAGAATCGTCACTACCTGCGTCACTGAACTTGCGACACAAACACAAAAGAACCGCTAGATTTAAATCAGCACAGCCAGCGAAGGATCGAACGCAACTGTTTTGAACAAGCGCACCTTTTTTTTAACAACCAAAAAGTTTTGTTGTCTGTTGCGGAAGAACAGACGTTCCTCTCGTTGATAGCAGAGGAGCGGATCCAGCGAGAGCTTGATGGGGCGACGCGGAATGAAAAAGTTTTTTTTAGGAGTCGTGGTAGTAGAGGCGGTGCAACTATAACGACATGTGAATAATCCCGCCCACTCTAAAGCGTTACTGAACTGCAGTGGAAACGCAAACCGTGCCAAACCGTACCGTGCTGTGCCGAGCCGTGCCGAGCCGTACCACGCAGTGGAAAAGCGCCATAAAAAATTCTCCTTTGTTGATTTTTTGGCACAATTTCATCAGTCACATGGTAAAAGCTAGCAAAAGTATGTTCCAACTTAAAAACGGCCACATTCTTGCAAATGAAATGAGTAAAATCTGGGTCCTCAAGCAAAATCATTTGCCATAACCAGTGCTTGGGCCTAGGCCTGGGCGATAAAACGGTATCGATATTTATCGATGGTACACCCTCTTTGATAACGATAGACATTTTTTTCGATATAGCGCATGACATAGGCACGTGCTATGAGTGACGCAGACTGCACGCACAAGCACGAACACATGCTGAACTGAGTGCTGTGCCTGCCTGTGATGAGGAGATTGTGAATTTAAAAAATTAATATTAGTCGAATTTAAAATAAACATTTGCATTTGAATGCAAAAATAGTACAATCAAATGTTAGGTGTGCGTCTGGGAGCGTCATCAGTGGAGCGCGAGATGCGGTGATGATGATGTAAGTGACGTTGTTGCATTTTTATGTTTTGTTAGTCTAGCCCATGAGACGCGCAGTTGCTGCGTTATGCATTCCAAATATTATAGAAATATAGAACCTCAATGCGGAGAAGATCTTGATTAGGTTAAAACCGAAACCAAGCCATTCACACAAAACGCATATTCAGTGCATTTTTTAGACGGACAAATACGACTGCTGCACTCGCGTCACACAAGAGATGTGTAGAAAGCCATGCAAAGTTAAAACAGATTAAACTTTTAAAAAACACGTCACGAATTTGTCAAGGTTTATTCTTTTTCACTGCGTCTCATATGTTTTTAAATGCAATCTGTGTGAATGGCGCTTCGGCTCTTTGGATTAAGCAATGCATAAATACATGATGCTGTTTTGTTCATAATT